ATTCCCTGCTCTATCCTTTGCGCGCGGTCGAAGGCCGTCAACCATAAGTCTTTGTACGTGGTGTACAAATCGTACCTGTTCAAGTCCAAAAGGGATTCCCCGGCGAACTTCACGCGTATTTTGGAAACCAGGTTCCTGCCTGCATTATTAACGACATAACGCGTGTCTGCGGTACTTGGTTGTATTGCTAGGTCGAACCTTAACGCCAGGGTACTAGGAACCAACACCAAATTATCCGTTAGGCGGGGCACGCCTACGTACAGCGTCTCCCCTGGCTTTGCGCTAGAAGGTGTGAATGTGACCCGGTGAAAGGTGCGTTCTGCCTTTAATCCGCCAACCTGCTTAGGTAATACGTTGGGATCTAACTTTGAGCTTATCATATATAATGGCGACAGAAGGAACTACGGACTTTGATCCCACCACCGAAGAAGGTCAAGTTGACATTAACGATGAAGAATATGAAACCCTGCTTCCTGATGACAACGTAGACAAACAAGGCCTCTTCGACAAGCTAACACGCAAGTATGGTAGGAGGGCCCGCGATGCTATGCGTTCCTTAAGAGATAAATTCAAGTCTAAGAACCCCCACACGCCCATTCCAGAATACTTACAAATGGAATCCCTTGGCGTGCGGTCGGACTTAACAGCGGACCTCATCAAGGACCTAAGAGAGCGATACCCAAGCCTAAACCTGGCTCCTTTGGACTTCCAAATAGGAGACAAAGGGCAGGTTCAAGTTAGAGAATCGGGTAGGAAAAAATGGCACAACCTGTATCAAAGGAAGAATTCCCACCTGCTTAACAACCAGCTTCCAAAAGGAGTCACAAATGCGCTGGGAACGCCCAACTTGACGATGCTAAGCACTTCGACTCAAAAGGAAACAGAAGTTGCTCAAAGGGCCTTTATTAGAGGTGTTTCGAGGCCTGGCTACAAAGTTGCCCTCAGATCCGCAATCAGACTGCAAGAGGAGTGCAAGGAAAAACTTAACCAATTAGAGGTCGTCGAAGAGGAAAAAAGCAAACAACTTGAAGAACTTCCCTCAAATAGCGACGCGACCGGAGGCTTAATGAGTCACTTGCGGAGAATAAGTGCTGAAAAGGAAGCACTTAAGAAGGAAATACAGGAAAATAACATAACCATCGATGACCTTACGCGACAACTTGATGCGGTAACCAAAGATGAGGGTGGCATCACTAAGCTCCTTGATGATTTTAAGGAGGATAACATAGCATTACAAAGTAGAATAGAAGAATTGGAAGAGGAATTCATTAAACAAAATAGACTAACTACTGCGAGTCATACCGCCGAAATTGCAGACTTTAAAGCTAGGCTCTCTAAGCTGTTGGAAGAAAAAAGCAGTGTAAGAAATCAGCTAAAGATTGCGGTAAATGAAGCGGCGGGGAAAGACGTAGAACTACAGCGCTTAGGAAAAGAATTAATGGAGTCTGTTGACAGAGAAAGGCAAGTAATGGTGGACAAGGCAGTGGCGGGGGAACAAATACGGCAACTTCAACAGGCCGTCGAAGACTTGGAGTACGAAATAGATCGACAGCGAGTAATAATCGAAGATCAAACTCGCCCTGAAGAAGAAAGGGAGGCAGCCAAAAGGGAAATAGAGGCTCTTCAGGAAAGACTGGTGGAATTACAAACGCAAATAGAAGGTAAGGAAAAGGAGCTGGGGCTTACCACCAAGGAAAAGGTAAAAAGAGCCCTTTTGAAGTATGGTATTCCGCTGGCATTTGCGGTCGCTATTTCAAGCGTAGTAGGCGTGATCTTGTCCGCACTTAAGGCTACAGGCGCGGGCGTAAAGAAATTAGGCAGTGGACTAACGGACTTGGGAAAAAAGATGGCAGCCGGCTTGCCTGGGCTGCTGGGTTCGGTTGTTTCCTTGGCACTTAGGGCCGGCGGCGAACTGTTAAAGTTCGTGGGGAATAACATTTGGATATTAGTCGTCGCTATTGGAGTGGTACTCCTGAAGAAGATGAAGAGTTAATCTTATCCTTGTGTATTATGTCGGGCTTATCGTCGTCGGGCGCCCGAGGCATCCTCGACTGGGGATAAGTAAAGATAGTATTCGCACCGCCTTGATAATGCGGAACTAGTGGTATAGCGGTCATAGTACTAATGGTCTTATGATGCCAGGTCCTGTTGGGGGTGTGAGCGTATCCGTCCGTGCTATTTATGAAAGCATAATAACCAAGATTGCTASYACCGTCAGGGTAAATCTGTAACTTAGCATACTTACAATTGACTACCATTTGAAACGTAGCCATATAAAACGCCTCACTACTAAATGGATATGGCTGCGCCGAGAAATGAGTAGGACTTCGATTGTTGGTCGATGCCCTATAAGGGGCTAAAGGCTCATCGTTCTCGTCAACCA